TCCAGTTGCATGAATCTTATACCTACTAACATTTCTTTCTGTAAACAGAGCCTTAACTCTAGCACTGTTCAGTAATGATTCATCTGATTTTACCTTGGTCCATGTACCCATGGTCAGTTTTGGTGAGCAAGGTCTGAGGAAGAAATAGAGTATTTAGTGGGGGTCTCGTTAGCTTCCCATATTGTGTTGAGAAGACTGGTTGCAGGAAGCTCTGAGGAGGCTGAGGGAGCTTTATGTATGGTGGTGGTGGCAGCATGTAGCTTTAGTTTATCAAATGAGAGTAAGTGCTATGGAGGATCTTGAAGAGTGTAGAGAAGAGTGTGTTTATTGGTGGCACAGGCAAGATTTGAGGGAGGCCTTGAAGGATTGGGAACTCTCTGAGATTTGTATAGCTCTTTGGAATAGTAGACCTGTAACTTATATATTAGCTCACTTGATTTTGATGAACCTCTGAAGTAGGTTAGAGATGTTCCTATTGCTATCATAGAAGGCCTGGGACGCCTAGCTCTCCTGTGCTGGGACAGACTTCAATTTTTGGATCATGAGGGCTAACTCTGTCATATGCAAATCAGTGAGAGGAATTGGCATGGGCAAAGAGCATAAAAGATTGTCCTACATAGGTGATTTGAACCCCTGCTTTCTGCTGCCCACTGATCAGGCAGAGGATGTCTTTGAAGTGAAGCTTGATGATGGGGCCTTTACCCAGCTCCTTACATTTCTAAGTGGGAGGAGTCCTTGCACATTTGGTTTGGGGATAACTCATAAGTGCTGAATTTTTTGTTGTTATCATCTTATGTAGTATCAGAAATGCAAGTTTAGGAAAAGTTTATTTATAAACATTGTGATCTAGCAGGTACCAAATACATTCAGCTTTGAGCAGGAAAATAATTTCTGGGTGGAAAATACTATTTGCCCACAGTTGTTGTTGCTGCTGCTGCTGCTGCTGCTGCTTCTTCTTCTTCTTCTTCTTCTTCTTCTTCTTCTTCTTCTTCTTCTTCTTCTTCTTCTTCTTTTATACTAGGAATTAAAACTCAGGGGTGCTTTATCACTGAGCTATATTCCCCGCCCTTTTAATTGTTTTTATTTTGGGATAGTTTCTCACTAAATGGCTGAGGCTGGCCTCAAACTAGAATTACAGGCATGTGCCAGCATGCTCCATCAGTCTGCAGTTTTTTCCTGTGAATTTCTAATCTTTGGAAGAAGTGAAAGGCAATGTGTGGAAAGGTCATAGAACTCTCTTAGTGTTGTTTTAAGCAGCGTCCAATATCCAGGGTATCCTATCTGCAGACTCTGTGACCTGCAGTAGGGTGAGAAACATTGCTACTTGCTAGTTGGTGCTAAATTAACAATCTTATCAGAGTGATCTTGGGTTGAAGTGAAGGTAATACCAAGAATTTCTGTCAGGTTTTGTGCTGCTGCCATCCAGACTGTTGGACGGAATGGGGAAACATATGAGAATTCCCCCTAGGGAGGGAAGATGGTGCTTTTGGAACTCTCAGAGCACTGTCAAGTGCTTGCTGCATCCTCACAGGACCAGGAGGTAGACTGTTCCCTGTGCAGGGTAAACCAGCTTGAAGTGGAAGCAAGACTTGATTTTAGGTCATCTGGCTCAAAATATCAATTTCACTGGTCAGTATAGTTTTAACATTAGGGTTTACAGAGAGAGTGTCTTTTCCATACTATATATTTAGAACTTTCAGGACATATGGTACAGCTTTTGATGATTCTACATCAGTTTGAGCTTTGATCTGTAACTTTCTTCTTCCCATTTCAGTCTTACTTAGTCCAAACCAGTTTATATCATCATTGCCTTAATCAACTTCTTTTGTTATTTATTTATTTATTGGTACTGGAGATTGAATCTAAGGATGCTTTACGTTAAGATACATTCCCAGCTCTTTTTATTTTTATTTTTGAGACAGGATTTCACTACGTTGCTTGAATATACCAGTTCTCCTGCCCCAGCCTCCCTAGTAGCTGGGGTGGTGCCTGACCTTGTTTACTTTTTGATCACTTTAATCTTGCTAAAGATTTGCAGTATGCATTCATCCCACTCAGAATGGGTCTTAACTGTCCTATGATGATGTTCAATTCTACCTTCAAGCTGTTCTGTTACATAACACATAGTTACTATTTAATTAGAAATGAAGGAATTTTTTTTCTTCCTAAATCAAAATAAAATCCAGAAGATCAGGTAATTGAGTATAAAAAGCATAGCTGTAGCAGCACTAGAAGACAAATAAGGATGGCTTGTCTAATTTTGGTATGTTCCAATCCTTACCCAAAGGCTAGAAGCATAGGAAGAAATTTCTTCGGTTTGGCCATATAACAACTTATTAGGCAAGGTTGAAAGACAAGTCGCAAGCTGGACAAACTGTGATGAGAGGTTGATATTTGTTTTATGTAAAGAACTACAAAAAGATAAATGATGATTAAACACCAGCAAAAAATGAGAAAGGAACGATACAATGGGCCAATAAATATATGAAAAGATGTTTAACTTCAGGAAAAATCCAAGTAATTCAAATAAAAATGAGGTCATTTTTTAATCTGTTAGATGGATAAAGATTAAAAAAAAAAAAAGGTCAAGAAAACCCAATATTGACACTGGGAGAGCAAGCACCTTTGTAGACGGGCAGTAATGTGCATTGGTGCAGCTTCCTGAGGGGCAGTTTGGCAGCATGCATTATGATTTTAAAACATGTACACACTTTGACTCAGATTTTCACTTTCAGAAACTCCTTTTAGAGATCTTGTGGAAAGTTATTTGACATTGAGTCTTGTAATTGTGGAAAATAAATGAAGATAAATACCCATTGGTGTCAGGAATGCTTAAAACTTGGTATGCTTATATGGTAGAATATGTTCATGATGTAGTCATTCATACCTGTGTGTATTGACTGGGAGGGGGTCTGTGACCCATTTTTTGAGTGGACAACAAATTATAGAAAGCCAGTGGTATAGTGGGGACCCCTTGGTCTTAAAAGTATATTCTCACTAGGGGCTTCTGCGTGTAAAGTGAGAGCCTGAAAAGATGATGTCCCAGGATCACCAAAATGTTACTTAAGGATATTTCTGAATGATGGACTTAGGGTTGTTTTAACTTTCTTTTCTTTGTCTGTTCATATACATCTGTGTGCATGTGGTGTGTGTTCAAAGGGAGTATATATCTTAAGAAACAAAACATCACCAAACCTGGTGCCTCATGCATACTGGGCAAGTGTTCTACCACTGAGCTACACTCCTTAGCCCAAGCATATATCTTTTTTTTTTTTTTAAAGGCACTTTGGGGGTTGAACCCCAGAATATTGTACCTCTGAGCTACATCCCCTGTCCTAAACTATATTGAGTCTTGCTGTTTTACTGAGACTGCCCTCTAATTTACATTCTCTTCCTTTAGCCTTCTCAGTAGCTGAGATTACAGACATGTGTCACCATTTCCAATGCATCTGTTAATTTTAAAATTGGAAAATGTTAAGTGGATTTTTGAGAAGGGGAAAGTACAGAATGTATGCTGTTGGAATCTGTGGTAGGTGGGTGTGGAGACTTAACCTAGGAGTCCACAAAGAGCATCCCTACTCCTCTATATGCACGTGTGTGTGTGTGTGTGTGTGTGTGTGTTTTGCATAACCTTGTTCTAAAGGAAAGGGAAGCCTGCTGTGCTTTCGAGGAGAGCCATGACCTTGAGTTAACTTGAGTGGGTGGCTGTGGTCAAATGAACTGGGTGTGGCTGACCCAGTTCTGTTTTTGCACCTGGTACAGCTGCACTACTTTTGCATATATCTGTTTGCCCCACTGGCTAAAGCAAGGTCATAGGTTTGCTTTCTATACCAGCCATTTTCCCTTAAAGTACTTTTCTTCCATGGCAGGATCTATAACCTTTTCTCATTGGTGATCTTGTGAGAACTAGGTTATTTGGGCTACATCCATCCCATAAAATCAGTTAACTGGATTCATCTTAGAAGACAAAAAGGGTCTCTTTTTTATATTCTTGATTTTAAAATTCTCGGGTTTCTACCTTATCTTACTTAATTCTATTCTCTGTTTCTCAAGGGCATGGCCTGTTTGCTTTGTAATTTTCTTCTCTTGATCCTCTTCATTGTTCTAATTCAGTAATAGAGGCAGCATTTAGTAAGCACAGACAGAAAATGTTGCAACAAATAAGGTCAATGGTAGGTCTCTTTACAGTTGCTTTTTTTTTTTTTTTGGCAAAGCAGAACTAGTTTTTCAGAGTTAGAGGAAAGCAGAGCCCCTTTGCATTGCTGTAGGGTACTGGAGGTGGTGCAACCAGATCCTGCCCCAGGTTGGAAGCCTCCATTCCCTCCCTCACTGGTTTGTCCCTGCAGCAGAGGGACTGCTGTGGGTGTGTAGCTGAGTAGGTACTTTTCCTGGCAGACACTCAGCACACATGCTTTTATGTTCTCTTGAACCATTGGCCTTTTCCTTTTGGCAACACTCTCCTGTATTCCTTGACAATCACTCTAGACCTGAGTTGTTTTTAGTGATGTTTTCTTGGTTTGTTTGAATTTTTAAAAGTGAAGGATACTAGCATTAAAATTCTCTTTTCATTGTGCTAAAGTTGGGATATCGTGGGAGGAAGGTCAGTGGTCCCTTTGTTTGATAAGATTTCCAACACCAGTTTGAATGAACCTGCTATAACTATATATAAATGTGCTATGGTATGCTATCATTGAAAAGTCTATTACGGGGCTTGCAATCTCCAGATTTAAACCTGAGAGCCTTAAACCACATGCATTTTCTGACTCAGTTCAACTACCCTAAGTAGCCAGTAAGGTGTGCAGTTGCACTTTTGTAACGAGGGACTGATACTTATTGGTTATCTAAAGATAAATATTGGTAACATAATCTAGGGAAACAGTCTTAAGCCTTCAAGTGTTAGAATAGAGGAGGAAGCAAGTGTTGAAGGTATGAAGTTTCACCTTTTTGAAACTTTTTGATTGTGAAGTATTCTAAATATTTGTATGGCTTTGTCTTTATAGACTGAAATCGCCAAGAGATTGAATACGATTTGTGCACAAGTCATCCCATTTCTGTCTCAGGAAGTAAGTAAAACTGTTCAGCTGTTAAAGTGCAATTATGTTGCTTCTCTGTTTGCAAATTAGCTAGTTTTAAGATGTTAATTTTATCACAAGGAACAAGCCTGAAAAAACATCTGTTACAGCTGAAGTGTGTAAACCCCCTGCTATTCTGTCTAACACGTCTGAGGGCACACTGTAGAATTGGTGACAATAGTTCAACCCCAAATTAATTTTTTTCTGTGGAAAACTGCGAAATGCCTTATCAACATAAAGCTTTTGTTTTGAGTAGTATAAGCTTGATAGCTAGTGATGATTCTGGTGTCCTTTTTATTGTTTAAATAGAGAGTACCATGGAAGTAGATCCTTTTTTTGTGCCTATATATCAGGTTGGTTGACTGAATGCTGTCCATGGAGGAAGTGGATGAGAATAGAGTAAAATTACTTTTTACGTTCTATCCACTTAATGAGTCACATACGTAGATAAGCCAAGCCATTTTATTCAGATACAATGTTCTTGAGGTTTTACCTTCCTCTTTTGAGAGGGAAATCTCTTTATATGAATAACCTGTGAAGTTGACTGTATTTTAGTTTTGCTTTGAAAAGATTTACCTTCCTTTTGGATACCGCCTTATAAATGCCATAATGTGTTTGCAGTGTGTGCAGGATGAATGTATATTGAGACAGGTGAAGTGCTTATTGGACTAGGAGTCAGAATTCAGGAGTTAGATCTAGTGGACACCTGCTGTTCCAGGCTGATTTGTAGGCCTTGTGAATCTAGTTGTTTAGACTTAAGGGATCTTGGCCTACATACTAGTCTCTTGCCTCCCAAACAAACCTGTGGCTTTTTTTTTTTTTTTTGAGGGGGAGGGGTGTAGTTGGGAAGTGTGCAGGGTGAATTTCCATCCTCTGAAACTGAGGGGGATCTTTCTGTTTCCCCTGGGAAGGGTAAAAAAAAAAAAAGGCTAAAAGAGCAAAAGGAATTCCTAGAGTTTCCAAAATCTGCTGATGGGTCAAGATTTATTAATTAGAGAAGTGCTCACAGATTTGATGTTTACATTTCAAGTATTGAAACAGTTGTTTTAAAATTGCTGTAAACTTCATCTGCCTATTTTCATCACTGTAAACCTGTTCTGTGATCCAGGGTGGCCTTCTAAATTCCATTCTCTCTGTTATCTAAGGCCTTAAGTTGCCATTCTTCATGTCCTGTTCTAAGCCAGAAATTACCATCAGAAGTTAAGTTAGAAATTCAGGGAAAGCTGGGTGTGTTGGTGCCTGCCTGTAATTCCAGCTACTGGGGAGGCTGAGGCAGGAGGATAGCAAGTTTGATGCCAACCTGGACAACATGGTAAAACCCTGTCTTCAAAATAAAAGGGCTGTGGATGTAGGTCAGTGATAGATTGCCCCTGACTAGTCCCAAGTAGAAGGAAGAGAGAAGTAGAAGGAAGCACCATTCTTAGTTTCCTGTTCCTGTGTTTTTGGAATACTGTGTGCTGGAGAAGTGCCCTGTTTAAACCCTTAAACTGCATTCAGCTTACACAGCACGCAGCATTTGTGTTTTTGTTATTAGAATGTAAAGGGACGTTCTTGGCTATTGCTAACATGTTTTCTTCTCCCTGTTTTCAAAGCATCAACAACAGGTGGCCCAGGCTGTCGAACGTGCCAAACAGGTGACCATGGCAGAGTTGAATGCCATCATCGGGGTACGTGGCCTACCAGGTCTACCTCCTACAGTGTGTATAACCAGCTTTCATTTCTTAATAGTTTGATGTCTTAATATGTGTTTGTGTATAATTGTGTGTAGCTTAATGTTGAATTGCTTGATAAGGGAGGGTAGCAGGGGATGTGGAGTATGCTGAGCTGCACAGAGGAAGAGGGCTTAGCACAGGGAAGCTGATAGGAGAGATGTTTTGGAATGGGGAAATCTGCTTTTCCATGGGAAAATAAGGGTAGCTCATTCTTATGACACTTAAACCACCCTTGCTCCATTAGCTGAGTAAAAGCTGTAAGTCAAGAGTTTTAAATACTTTCCTATCTTCTGTCTTACAGCTTTGGACCGCAGTGAGGGTCAGGCCAGGTCTCTGAATTACCATTTCACGGAGTTCTCTTTGTCTTTGCCTTTTCCTTTCTAGGGTATTCTAACCTGTGTAACTGTTTGCTCCTTTGCTTTCTTGTGTCTCTTTCATGAATTTTTAAGTGGCACACCAATGAAAGAGCGCTCTCTCGCCATGGAAGAAGTGTTAATTGTCTGCCCTACTGCTCTCTAGCCTTTCAGTGGTTTCCTGCTCTCTGTTGAGTTCAGCTAGTGCTTCTTGCTGACTGGTTGTCAATCACAAGTCATTTGCTCCGCATTAAGGAACCTGGTGAACTGTGTGTTCCATCCCCTGCATGAGTTCATCCCTCTGCCCACCACAGGACCCAGGATGGTTCTCATGTGCTGTCCCCCTTCCAGACCAGGGGAAAGAAGTTGCTGAAACAGGGGAGGGTTCTTTCTGATTTTATTCATATGTGAATGCCTTGAGCAGATTCAAATCACTCATTTATCAATTTATGTTAATTGCTTGTGAGAAGATGCCCTGCTGGTCTTTATAGTTCCCTCAGACACTTTGTAATGATAATTAGACATGCTGCTGTACGGATTAAGAGTGCCATAGTCCAATGACGGCCACAAACAATGGAACCAGTTAATCCATCAGGGCTTAAAATTACATCCCAACTGGAGATGGAGAAAAAACATAAGAGCCAAGGAGGATTAAAGAATGAGCCTCAGCTTGAAAACTCTCCTTTCATCAGTTTCTCAATTGCAGATCTGCAGTTGGGTTGCCTGTGGTAAGCTATTGGCAGTCAATTAGGTGAAATAAACTGGGAGGGTGACCTTCATTTCCTTTTAATAGCTTTTTCCTCCCTGAAATGGGGAGCTTCAGTGGATTTTCAGCTTAAATTTTATTCAAGCTGCTTTATTACACTTGACAGCTTAGCTCTGCATAAACAATTCTCCCTCCTCTTCCCCCAGATCTAGGCTCTGCCTTTCTTCCCCTTCAGTATCACATTTTTGACTGTTACTTAGTGGGCTCTCTAATCACATTCAACAAAAAACACAATTACATCTGCATTTGTCTGCTGCCTTCTGTACCCTTTTCTTGTGTAATGAATTGCTTTATTTTAGAGATCAAATCAAATATTCACTGGTACTTTTGCATGTACTGTGTTTGATTAGCAAAGACTAATAGCGAATTGTACTTGTAGCTGGAGCACAGAATTTTTTTTTAACCCAAATGAATGAGGATGGAAAAGCCTGTTTTGATTAAAGGAAAACATATGCAAAGCAGTTCTCAAGTACCCAGTTCAACTTTGTGGAACATGTTTGTTTTCTGAGCGGCTCTAAATTTTCACATGTAATTTTTCAATGGTAAAATGCTTACATTTAAATTCTCAAAAGCACTGCCCAGGACCTGTGAATCTCCTTTGGACCTACACTTCAGAAGGGAGGAAATTGCATTAACCAGATGTTTATAGGTAATACCCATTTTGAGCTGAAGCAGAGAGTAAAAACAGGTCGTTTTAGAAGAGCAGATGAATCGCTAATTTTACGAATGGCTTTGGTCCAGGGAAAATGTTGTTGAGATTATAAAGGCAGATTAGGTCTGATAGTGTAGCAACAATAACCCAAATTGGTGAATTGAGCCCAACACAAGACTTATGCCCCTTGCTTGTCTTCAGTATCCTGGCCTGGGTAGCTTTTGTCATTGAAATTTTTACATCAGTATATTAATTTATGTCAGAAGGTTCTTTTAAAGTTTGCAGTGATCAATAATTATCTCACACCGTAAGTTTAATGCTCTGGCATATGCTTGATTTTTGCTTGAAAGGAATTGTGTGCATCCTGGAAAATCGAAGTAGCATAAAATTGGGTTGACAATTCAGTGGACCTTTGTACCCCTTCATTGAACATGCAGTGTGTCAACCTGTCTCCCCAGAGGGGAGGAGGTACCGGGAGACTGTCTGTTCCTACAAGCAGCAGCTGCACGCAGAGTCAATGCAGCCTAGTTTGATAGCAGCTGTCAGTATTGTTCAGGGACCGACTTAGGGTAAAGAACAATGGGAGAGGCCATGCTCTCAGTCTGCATCGACTTTCAGGCTAAGAAAAGAAATAGTAATTTAACGGTTTAGACATCTATTACAAGTGTGAAAGATCATGAAAGAGTACCCTTTAAAATGCAAATGAGCCGAAACATTCTCATTCCCTTTAAGGTACAATCAAGGAGCTTACTGCTTGCTTGACAGGGTTCAAGATATTTCTCTTCAGCAAACCTGGAAAAAGTTAAATGTTCTGAAGGACTCGGGGCTCCTAGGTGAGCTCAGTCTGTTCTTGTCCTGTGGGTTCTCTTCAGAGAAAAGAGACAGGTCATAACTCTTTTTTGGCCTCCAGTCCTTGTTGAGTAAATGAATGCTGCCCATTTTGCACAGAACAAAAATCTTAATACTTTTCCTGACTAACAGAGAATACTGAGTTTTAATTCTTTTCCACCTGCCTTCTATTTGCATACAGTACCGATATTTAAGAATGATAAGCTTTTTAGTTGATATTTGGTGAAACTACTATTTTTGTTAGTGTTTTTGTTTTCAGTACTGGGGATTGGACTCAGGGATTGTTGACCATTGAGCTATCCTCAGCCCTCTTTTTATTTTTTGAGACAGGATCATGCACACTTTCTGGGCCTAGTCTCTAACTTGTGATCTTTCTGTCCTCAGCCTCCCTGGTAGCTGAGATTACAAGGGTACACCACCATGCCTGGTGTGATTTTATTTTTTAAAGAGAACAATTGCATGGTTGTTTATTTCTAGCCACCTGTTGCCCAACTTCATGGTGTTTATGGTAATACATATAACATCGTTTACATGTATTGCATTGATAAAAAGCATGGTCCAGGATCAGAGGGACTTGGGCAGGACACTTGACTATGTGACTTACTGCTTTTGTGACCTTGTGCAGTTAACCTATGTCAGGGTCCCCATGTGTAGGTGGGTTAATACATTCACTTCCGTGGCTTTTGTGGGAATAAGAACTTGGTGGCAGCCCTTACATCCTCACACCCACCTTTTGGTCTCAACTCTCTGAATTGCAGTTTATCTGTGGTTTCTCTAAGTGTCTGTAACAGATCTAGGGTCCAGTTGGCCAAGCCCTTGTGGGGGTGATTGCTCTGAGCAGCAGGTCACCTCCTCCTTTGCCTTTTCTAGTGGTTTCATGGAAGTGGGTATTTGAGATTAGACCAGCCAGATGCTCTGCTCCTGCCATTAAGCTGTTGTGCTTGAGTGCCTTTTAATAAGGACACAGCAGTGAAAAAGCTCTGCCATTTAGCTTTTGATGAACAAACTTAAAAGTTCCAAACCAAGAGGAAAAAGTTGCTTTAAGAACAGATGGAGACAGAGTTGAAGGCAAAATTGTGGCTCAAGACATTCTTAGCTTCCTCACACAACATAAAGATGGAGGGCAGTGCCTTTGTTGACCCAGAGTTACAAGCACCGTTGTAACAGAGTTGGAAGGAGAAATAAAGAAGAAGTGGACAGATGACCAGTGGAGATTGTCCTTCTATCCACAAAATACCAGATTTCTAGTTGTGCTGATTGTTAGGTATAAGAAAATGTGAAAAAATTTCCTATAGCAGTGCTTTTGTATATTTCCACTTCATAGACAAAATTTATAACACTCTGCTTTCAAGCAACTTAGTATGAAATAAAAATAGTGGAGGGTATTAGGTGATATCTGTGTGTTTGTGGAGGGGATGGCCCCAAATACAGACTCATGGTGTGTTCACAGGAGGTGACTTTGTCTCCCTAGGAGATTGAGTTGTAGACTGGAAGGGCTCTCCACTGTTGCATGAGATGATTGGTTTAAGGATTAGCAAAATGTTGGATTTTTTTTTCCTCCTTTGGCTGTAGCTGTCAGCTGTCTATAGGATTGTAGTGTGTGAAGTTTAAGAGGGTGAGGTTAGCCTCTTATTCTTATGAGTATGTAGCTAATCCCTGGAAAGCCCATCAGTAACCCAGCTGTAAATTTCTTTGTAAAACAAATTCACCCGAGGAGAATAAAGCTGCATATCCTGTTACCAAGAGAAGACTATATAGCTACAACAAACGGGGATCTTCTAGCTCCACCAATTTAGGTTTAGTGACATACCCTCCACTTGCATTCCAACGGCCTAGTCCTTTCATTAAATTTACAAAGGGAAGGAGCAGCATTGCAAGGAAGTCTTTTTTATGCCTTTGTCTCCTTTGGTTAATTTTTAAATTTTTTAATTCAGAATACCACTGGGTATCTTTGACAAATGCAGGTCTTGGCCTCGGCATCTGGATTTTTCTGTGTAGTCATAGTTAAAAACAAGGCTTCAGCAACTTTTCTATTAATATTTCTCCACATATTTTCATGTGATTTTACTTGATGTCTTTGGAAAAGGCATTTTAAAATTTTTCCCTCTTTTTTTTTTTTTTTT